ACTATTTTGCAGCAGTAAACGCAAAGTCCAAAATGATATAAACTTTCGTCATCGGCAGTGAAAGAGTTAATAAGAATTTAAATCGATACAATAACAAGAATAAACAAAATAAAGCATAAATAAAAAATAAATTTTAGCACTAGCAAGGCTTAGGTTGACATTCGCAACTGTAAATTATTTACAACTTTTTATTGTAAGCATAAATAATTATAGATTCGTACTCGTGGTCTCTCTTCCTTCCCTTTCTTTCTCTCTTCCCTTTCTCTTCCTTCTCTTCGTAAGTTCTTTACTTATATTAATTATTCCTAACGAGTTCGTTAAATGTCCGTTAAAATCGGAAAATCGGAATCAAAAATACGCTGTGTAACAGATAATTTGGCACATCTAGAAATATATTGATATATATCACTGTCTATATCTCGATGTCCTATGTCTTTTGTCCTACTGCCCGATCAAGCGTCCTGTATCTAACTGCTCCGTAGCTTCAAACATTTGTTGAATACTCATCGACAGTAGTGAATGAAAAACATGTTTCTCGTACCTACAAAACAAAAATTACTGATTCTGAAAACTGATGCACAAATAGTCAGTTTTTAAAACAGAAAAATGAAGTCTAGTGGAAAATCAATACATCCGACGACGAGCATCGTATTTTGGTTTGTTTTGAAATCGTGGGAGATGCAACATGGCGCACAATTTGATCAGAAGAGAACGTAACCATAGCTGATTTTGATCAAATTACTCCAATGTCCGGGGGAAGAGAAAGGACGCTACGAGAATGCAAACATATGGTAGCGATTGCTCAGGCAAGCACAGGATGTAAATTTCCGCCATCACTTTACCTCAAATCCTCTGGAACAGAGATTCGATCTGATTGTTGTTTGTCCACGATGCCGTGGCAACGTAAAAAGGATAATACCACACGCAAAACAAGTTGGAAAAAGAAAGGACAAGTGATTCAATCGAATCTCTCACTCTCGGCTTACCACTCTAAAAAGGATTGGAAGGATTCCTATCCCCTAAAGGCTAATTTCATAGTACAGTTAACTTCGATCGATACTACATTTCAAAATACAAAGTGAATGCAAACAATGCATGTTTGTTGATCTCCGTTTTGTTAAATATGTGAGAGGAGAATCGTCGGAAAGTCTCCTCGGAAATTGAATGAGAAGGAAGAGGCAAAAAAAAAAAAAACTCGGAACAAATGTTGGTAGTACATCTGTTGTTTACCCTGCGTCTTGTACTAAATAATTCTCGTTCGTTCCTATGGCTTGACGCCACTTGGAAGGAAGACGAAGTTTCCACCCCGATAAAAGTTCTCTCATACCTCTCGAAGCCACTTCTTCACTTCCTCGACATGCAGTCGGAATCCGACGTCGCCAATCTACGTATTTTAGATACACCGTACTTCGCCCGAAGATGTCAAAGATGACTTTCTTACGCGTTACAGTAGATAGGAAAAGTTATTATGGCAATGTAGGGCCGACGACGCGACGAAGATTAGGAGGGAACTTACCGAAATGCCGGGATATTCGCACTCGTGAAAAATGAAGTCGTGAGAAATCATGTAAACATATCAATGGAAAAATATTCCGCAACAATGTAACATCCGTTTCATCTCACGTGCATAGTCAATAATAACATAGGAAATTCAACATTTACCAGTCAGAAAAATGAACGTCAAAAATTGCTTCTGCTACGATAACACCAGAGAGAGAGAGAGAGAGAGAGAGAGAGAGAGAGAGAGAGAGAGAGAGAGAGAGAGATATAAATGCGACGATACGGAAGAAGAGAGTTCGGAATCTTGGCGAAACGTGCGCGTCAGTTAACCAAACGTATACAAATTGAGTAGACGTATGGGGAGGGATCGCTCGCACGCTCGTAGCATGCAAATTTCGTCGCTGCGCTTCGCCGTTCCGGCAAGACTTTTCAATTTGACCTTCATTCATCAAACCTTCGACTTTCGCAAGGAGAAAAGAACACATGAGCTGGTTTCTCGTGAGCATCCATCACCCATTCGGTCTAACAAGTTAGAATCGAGCAGAGAGAAGAGAAAAATCGTACCAAAGTACAGCACATCTTCCTTTACCTTCTCCCTGCTCTCATATTTCGGACCGAGGAAGTCGTACCGATGAAACGTATACTTTATACATGGCAGCAATGCCGTTCCACTCGCAGACAGACATGAATAAATAAAGCCTTCCGGTATGTGCCGCGGAACCTCCTCGATATCGATCGCAATTATTTATAAATGCTGTTGTTGAAGTATCCTTGTCACGGATGACAAATAATCGTTTGCCCCTTTCGACCTCCTTTCGACTCAAAGTTACCTGCCGAAATCATTAACGAGCCCGGAAAGTGTCCTTCCATTCCGAAAGAACATCCAGTGCTGGCTCCATTTGCTTTATAATACCGCGACAAAAACTTTCCAATGATTCCATTGTTGTCTCTCTAATAATTTATCATATTTAAAAGAATTACATTCCAGCACATGCGCGAAAAGCTTTTCAGATCATGGTTCTCTTTGATGAGACACGAACAATGAAAAGTTGCAACAACCACAACGCTAACCAATGATGATTCCGCACAGATCTATCGCACAGACCGGATGTGCTCTTGTTCGACGACTCGGCTTTTACACCATAAACAAAGTATGAGCTAGAAAAAGCTTGTCTCACGAAACACCCGCCAATTTTCGCGCGATGTGCTTTATCAACGCGAAACAGATATTCCATTATGTACAGCGCATGCAAAACCATCGGTATGTGGCCAAGTCGCAAAATACAGCCATTCGAACGCATAAAGTGTGTGCTGACGCCATCGAAGCGGAAAAACAACTTCGAGCGACGAAACCAATGCGGAATCGACCGATACTGCCACCCCTGCTCCCTGTACAAAATCTACAAACGTATCAAAAACTAAATACAAAAGCTTGTTCGTGCTCGCATATGATTTCTTTCACCCCTTTAACTTTTCGTTTTTAATTTAATTTTAATTTATTTCAATTAATAAATTTATTATTAATTTTAAATAATAAATAATGAATTTTTATTTAATTTTTCACATATAATTGTTTAGTACAACATTGAATGCGATATTTTTGTCAATATTTTATTTATAAAGTAACTAAATACTCACATAAGGGTCTTAGGTGAGCCTTTCATGCACAAAGTCTAATTTAAAATTTTTATTTTTTTACAGTAGGAATGTTAAATTAGTCACCATTTGTCAATTGTGATTATTAAACACATGCACAATTAATTTTAAAATTAATTTAAAATTAAAATTATATATAAATTAATATATATAAATTAAAATTATATTTAATTATTACAATTATTACAATTAATTTTAAAATAAATTTAAAATTAATTTTAAGGTCTATTTACGAGGTTCCTCGATATAATAGAAATTTCCTTCCATACTGTACGAAAAAAATTAATGATAAGAATGATCGATTAACGATCTCACGCGAAATTCCGATAGCTAATGAAGATAATGGGGAAACGTTTCAGACTATTCACGTCGTAAAATAAAACAGTCTGGATGTCGGGTGCGGATGTTTCATATAAAACACCCCCCTGGATGACTGTAGTACCACGTGACGACTACGGCGCGCGTTGGCAGGATATAAAAGAGAGATTAACATTTAACGGCTTTGTCAGTCCACTGCCATCTATATAAAGGGGTTGCGCACAGCAGTGCTGTCATGTCATGAGCCGTGGGATTCGGTGCAACGGATTGTAATTCACACGATCGTAAATGTTCTTTATTACGTCGATACAAAGAATAAACGTGCGACGGAAGGAAATTGAACGCGTACTCGTCAGCCGTGTAACGAGACGATGAACAGATATCTAATTAATAATTCTTTATATCGAATAGCGTCCAAAGCGTGCCACAAAAAGAGATTTGGGAAATGACCAATTTTAGGAAAGAAGATTAAATAACATTTATCTTGGCCATTGAATTTTATCGCGGAAATTCTATACAGTTTGAGTAAACCGTTAAAATAGCTACTTGGTTTTAAAATCATCGTTTGATCACTTAATTGATTCGTCACATTTTACGAGCTTTTAAAGAGCTTTACATTGTACAAAAAGAGTTTACCGCGAAAGCGTGGACACCATAATCACTTTTTTCATTAAAGTAAATTGCTTCTGTCTGTAAAATTGTTGCGCGAAAATTAAAAGATTTAGGACGTTGCTAACAGCCTTTATTGTACTGGTAATGAACAGAGATAAATACGTGGCGGGCACCGGATCGTCGCGAAATCTCGGCACTGAATAGCGTAGTTATTCACACATAAATTAGGCGCGTGAAATGAATACCAACGGCACGTTTAATTAAATTTGTGTCGTGATATATGCGCCAGTTATTACAAATAGTCCCCTCTTCAGGAGAGAATGCAGCCCGAATAAAATCATGTACTTTACACATTCCCCCTTCTCGGTCGCTTCCACAACAAAAGCAGATAAAGATTACGCAACTCTACTATCGAGCGCTTTGTTGTATACGTTCCGAACTATTTTTGCTCCGAAAATATTTAAGTAAACGCCATAATTCAATGTATCAGCAGTCGTAACGAACTCCTCCGTAAAGGAAGAAAAACAGCTCATTACTTTCATGCTTTAACCTAATAACGGACTTTGCTTTCATTATAATTAGGCGGACTCGAAGAAGGAACTACTCTTTTCTCACGAGCTTATGTATGCAAAGGGAAAATAAGTTTCTCGATAGACTAAAGTTGTACCGGCGATCCTCGGGGAAAGCAAAAAGTGCTAACGATCTATGCTTCGAAAGTAACCAAGTTTTAACTTTATTTCGGAAACGAGCCATGTACTGAAGATTGTCGATATATGTGATATTTCATTTTCAAACCGATCAATTCGCCTATTATCGTAGATTTCGTCCCAAATGTTTGAAGAGCAACATCGAGAAGGGTTGAGTGTTAATTTCAAAGGTGGAAAATTAAAAATGTGTTTAAAAATATCACTCACCGCCCAGGTCTGCGAAGAAGATTTCACGTAAAGCCAGAAACTCTTCCTCCGGGGGTATGTTCACTCTACCAAAGCAGTCATTTTCAGGCCAGATCTCTCTAAACAAATTCAAATAAAACAATTTTTTAAATGTTTGCTTAATATAGACTTATTCTGTGACACACAGATGCATAAATATCGCTTCCTAAAGCAAATTGGAATTTGTTATTTTAATCTCCTTATACATATATATATATATTGATCTTCTCCACGATTTTTTTAAGTTTCAACAAATTCATTAAGATACGCTACTACCAAAGTAGTACATCACCGAGAATCCGACAATTTTTGTAGTAACAGTTTCCCGCGCATTATTAAAAAGATAAAAGTACTTAAAAAAATGATCGTTCGTTACCACGAGTCATATAAATGAGAAAGATGCGTTCAGGTACAACGTAGTCGCACGGAGAGACGCACGAGAAGTCCGAGTGGCAAACTCAATGGGTCTCGTAGAAGGCTCCTTTGAGCATGAGAGCTTCACCACGATCTACACCAACATCGGACTCCTTGCGTCAAGTGCTCACACCCAACCCTCATTCTTCGTCGCACCCTACCTTTGCTCGCTTGCCGTTGATGCCGACATACATGCGCATCTCCTTCGCAAAGTACCTGTATCTTAAAGCCACGAGGTGGAAAGTGTTACCGTGGAAAAAGTAGGAAATAGACCGAAGAGATTGAAAAGAGACGACGGGAAAAAGAAGAAAAAATTTCAATAATTAAAATAGTAGCGTTGATCTAATTAAATTTTTTTGAACTTATTGAATTGTGTGTGTGTATGTGTGTGTGTGTGTGTGTGTATGTTTCAACAATTGAGTATTGTTTTTACAAAAGTCAATATTTCTTATTGTTCAAAGTTAATTTGCCGGATGCTTCTAACTTATAAATTGTTATTCACATTTGACATTATTAAAAAGAAAAATAAATTTTATCTGATATGTCAAATTTTCGTAGATGAAAGGTAACTTCCTAGTAAGTCTAGAAAACCTTTGTACACCTTTATGAGGATTAAGAAAAAAGACAAGACAAAAGAGATGGTCGTTCGCGAACGTGACTGGAAAACAAAGGCAAAGTCACGTCTTCTCCACGAAATGCTCCAAAAAAGGGTGTAGTTAATGACAGAGGATTTTTAACCTGATATTACATGGCGAAATAACTTCTTCAAACATTTCTTTATATACTGTGAATTTTCACTAAAAAAGAAACTAAACGTAGTTTTTCATAAAATATTCGCACAGGTAGAAATTTAAAAAGATATATATTTTCATAAACTTATTGAGTCGTATAAGTAACACACTTGTTCTATTTTTAAGAAATGTATACAAATTTATAGATATATAATTTCCGGATTTTTAAACATTGCCTGTAATGTTTTCTTTTTATACAGTTAATCCTTAACTTAAAGCTATTAAAAATATTGAATGAAAAAAATTCAAACATTGTGGGCAATTGATATAGTCGTATAATCCACACATAATATTCACGTTTAAATGAATCGAAGAACCGCGAAATGTAAAAAGTACGATAAAAACTGTAATATTAAGAAGAAAGAACCTTTTTTCAACGATACTTATATAATACTTATATAATAGAAACCGTAACCGCGCAGAAACGGTAATAATGATGAAAATACTTGCTATCGTACTCTGTAGCCGCGCAACATGCGATTGATAATGAAAATCGCTTCTACTTTGCTCTCTCCTAACAGCGCTGGAGACGAATTAAAATCCGAGAATTGGATTTGGTCACTTGACACGAAATCGCACTTAGTTGCGATTCTATCATATAAAAGCGAAGCGTAGGGGCTGGTTCTAACGGAAACACGTACGTACGATGTGTTTCATTTTATGCGTACACACGCGACACACATCCGTACGTTTTACAATATACGACTCTGGTTGGAATCAAGTCCGGACATGATCCGTCCCCGTTTTACACGCGGAACAGAGACGTAATCCATACAGTATCCGCAGGGCGAGTTGCAACTAGCGTATAAAACGTTAAGAGCGGATTCCTCACTTAAAATTTGGAAAATCGTCATAAAATAGAACGTCGAAGAGAAAATCGTAATTCATTGCAACTTTTTTTATGAAATGTGCAAAATTAAAGTAACCTTAATAATCAAATCCATGCCGATTGAAATCCCTATTTCATATGACGTAATATTCATTTGAGCAATTAAATAAAAACCACCTCTTTGTCCACAAAGAAAGAAGAGAAAATTGAAGAAGAAAAGCGTTTTTTCTCTTTTTATTTTATTTTAATAAACCTTGCTTTACTAGAAAAATTGGTTTGTTATCCACTTATGCTGACGAAGTTTAATTCGCAGATAGAACTGCATTCGCAGTCATCTATAACTCGCGCGCGACCCTACTTTAGGAAAAAAACTTTTAACGATTCACGTAGTCGTGATCCGGACAGTAGTATAGCGCGCGCCTAGGATCGCTGCTGATCAGGGACGTCTGCTCCACTTTCGAAAGCTTTCCGAAATTCTCCTCACTGGAGATGAATCCAATAAGCAGACGCAAGGGGGAGAACGCCAGAAGAAGAGGAAGGGCGCTGTCCCCAGAGCGGAAGAAGTGGCTCGTACGGCGCTGCTACTGGCTGCTGGCTGCCTGAATAGAAATTCAGCAGCATACAATCCCCATTATCCCTCGATTTGAAGTCCCGCGACAATGGAATCTCTCAGACGCGCTGTGCTCGTTCGTCTCCTCGCGACTCAACGTTCCGACATACAAGCCGATACCGCTTTGCCAGACATGAAATGGATAATTTCGACACGTCCATTTTCGTGTTTGGCAAAGGAGAATCAAAATGATGAGTCACCCTTCGGGACCGAACATAAAGATGTCACAGAGGAGAGCTTTCATAGGCGCGCGCAAAGCGTTACGTTACTCTGATAACTTCAACGAGTTGCGAGCGACTCTATTTTTTTCTTCACCATCCTATTAATTGCACGCCTAACTTCAATGTTCCTGAACAAATCGGATTTCCGAGAGCACACAGGGCTCACACATCTTAGGGCACTAACATTGTTGAGTGAGCACATGGACGATATCCTGTATATATTAATCGCGAGCGAATATTTCACGATGAATTAAGAGAGGCAAGTAGAGAAACTCCAAACAAAGGATATTTCTCTTTGTAAATGATAAAATCATTACTGCATTATGCTCGTAATAAAGGCGAAGGAGAGGAAATGATAAACCGGCGTGATTTCTTCGCCACAATTATCCTACGTCTCTGAATTATGGAATCCTTAAGTTAAAGTCACCGTGCCGATAAGAGAGGGTCGCAGACGGCGCGAGTGGGAAATTAGGGGGATAAAACCGGTAGCCAGACGGCGGAGTATTTGCTAGGCAAACGAAACACGATTACTAGAAGCAGCAGTAGAGCTGTGAAACGAAGACGCGTACGTGAAGAGAACAGAGGTATTACATTGTTTACCTTACGTACCTACGTATTACCGTAAATGTCTTATTAATAATATTGTCTACGCCCAAGCGTAGTCTATGTATGGTAGTCAACTGTCTGCTACTTTTATCCCATTGTGTGCACAAGGTCGGCCATGGTCTTGCCTCTGCAGGCTTCCATTGTGTACCGGCCATAGTAAACATTAGCCCATAAAATGGACGGTGGAATATTACGTACAATCTCGCAAAGTAGTTCATAGCGATGATACTGCGTAAAGAAAAATCGTGGAAGGTACTGTAATTTCATAGCTTCGCGATATATGGAGACACAGTCACGCGATAAAACGGATTTTTATTTCCGCGCGTGCGCGCGCTCGCACTTGTATCACGGCACTTCAATTTAACAAAACTAATAAAGTTAACTTATTAGAACGGCAGGTATTCTGTGCTCTCGGGTAAAATCACATCTTAGGGCACTAACATTGTTGAATGAGCTCATCGAGCTCGGCAAGATAGTCATTTTAAAGTAGTAAAAGGTCCGAGGCTGATGGTCGCAATTGCCACGAAGTATCGTGAGTATATATATAAGACTACGTATATATATATATATATATATATATATATAAGACGATTAACTTTAACGAGTAACTTTGACGCTATTCTTCGACGTTTCGTACGGTAACGTTGCGACACACTCTCTGTGTAAGAAAAATAAGCCAAGATGCTCGCGAACTGTGTACACGTCCGTGTTTAGCACAAAGGCAAAAAGCTCCGTGAAGAGCATATATAGAGGAATCTATTTACACGTCGGCGAGTTTATCAGCAAGGTATATCGAATCCCGCAAAAGCATCGATGCGGCGATTAAGCCTTAGAACCAGAAGGGTTGGCGAGGTGGAACGCAGAAACAAGTTGACGGAGGGACACGACTCATAGGCACATTTAGAGGTGGAACACTTCAAAGAGTTGGTCGGGTACACCCGTTCACCTCGGTGAACCGGTGTATACCGACGCGTTGCAAGAGCGGCAGATCCCTTTCAGATTTAATGTAATGTAAATATCTGCGGCAGTGCAAACGCCTAGCTTTTCGCCGGTTAATTGGCCGTATGACTGGTCGGTGCACAAAGCCGAAAAAATTTCGAGCGGATCACGAAGGGAGTAGTGCAATTAATGAGTTAGCGATGTCATAATAAGATAACGTCTAATGATAAAACTACAAAATATGTAATAATATTGTCTTTCAACACAGTGTTGTCTTCGGTCAAAACGTTTTAAGTCATTTCCAGTTTTCTTCCTTCAATGAAAATAAAGAAGGCGATCAGATTGCGTGTATGTGTGTGTATATGTGTCTGATCTGTCTAACATATCATATCAGTGTATCCATCAAATTCTCTCTGTAATTTTATATGATTAAAAACTGTTTGCATTTACATCGTTATCCCTTCAATTTATGTGTACTCCCTGTACCTCCTGTACTTGGGCACAAACGATCAAAAATTCATCGGGCTTTACGAGGATAAATCCCGCTTTCTTCCTGGCTTTCTAAACCTACTACAATGAACGCCTTTGTTTGCTCAAACAAAGCCGTGCAACCCCCATAATTAACGTCCGACTTAGCTTGAGATACTTATCTGTTGCCGTCCACGAGCACTATACTTTTAAAAATATGTGTGACAAAAGAACAATGGAACAAAGGATTATTTTATTAATTATATAAAAAATGCCAAAAATTTAAAAGTACACACGCAGCACGGTGAAAATGTGAATCGCTTTATGAAAAACTCGCAAAAAGATCGTCAAAGGTGCTGTGTGTAATTTTTACGAAAAATATATATTAATTTTTCGTATACACGTATGTGGTTACGTTAAATTATAACGTTACGGACAAAAAATTACACGTAGCATGCAAATGAATAAATTACTTCATTCTAACAAAGACTTTCGTACCGAGAAAATTTCTCGTCTATCGCATTGCATGGCGACAACGGTTCCAGACGCAAAACTAATTTTCAAGATAAACACTGTATTCTCTCGTACATGACGAGTTACTTTTCCGGAATCGCTTTTCAAAATAAGCAAATCTTTTACCTTGCTGCACGTAGAAGACCAACCGCCTGCTCCAAGTTCTCCTGCCGCATTAATTTCTGGATTCTCTTCATGGCGTCTGCTCTAAGAATCAAAGGAAAACAAAAAACAAAATGAAACACTTGAAATATGATAGTATTAGAAAAAAAGAAAAAAAAAAGGATTTTTTTATGAATATTTTTCGAAAACATTCGCAAAGAGCGTAAATCATTATGTTTATCCGATTATCACAATTATCAGTGCTTACTTCTGATCGTCTATGGGTGTCTCTAAAGTTGCATCAAACGGCATCACCTCTGGTATGTTGCCACCTTGTATCACAGCGGATATTTCGGGACCAACTGTGTCCCAGCGTTCTTCCAAAGTAGCAGTCGGAGTTATATCCTTGTGAGAAGGCTCTATTTGACAAACAATTAAACAATTTGGTGCGTGCAAGAAGATCTCGAATTTAACTTTGTATCACATTGTGTTTTAAAAGCACGAAATGATGTTATAAATCAATGTAAAAAATTAATTAAATCTTACTTTTCCGCCTCTTGACCTTCTGCCTCTTGGGCTTCACTTTTTGAACTATTAGATGACGTTGACCCTTCTCACAGAAATATTCCAGCATTTTCAGAAATATATGAACAGTAGTCACAAGATCCACCAAGTAGCGTCTAAAAGGTAAATATGCCTCAACCACACAGTTACAATGTACCCCATACTATATAATCGCGAGAATGTCGGTGAACTTGAACCCGCCTCCCTTGTAACAAGAAGTTAATTCAATCTCACTGCACGTGCATTAATTTGTCAATTTAGTTCCGTTAACGCTACCACCACCGACCAAAGTTTAACGGAGCTGCCGTACTGTTTTCGTCAGCGTCGCCGAAACGTCAAAGTAGCAACGGCATTGCGGTGCGTCGCGCCGCGCCGCCCTTACATTTCCGTCGTGGAAATCCGCGCAAAACCCGTCAAACTCGTGGCAAGTTGAACGCCCACCGCCTTTTCCCATTTCGCCGGCCGGAAGGTCGATAAAAGTTGTTTATTCCGCCGAGGAACGTAGAAGGGAGAAGAAACCGGGCGGGCTGCGCTAGTGAGACCGAAGAAGAGAAATAGTCGAGGAGGAACGCGTCGGAGGGAGCCGGAGTGGCTTCCTGGCTGGTCGAACCGATTGATCCGAAAGTGAATCAATCTGTCTGCGGTAGATAAAACTTTCGGTAAAGAGTTCTCCCTCTTCACGACGCGGATTCACCCGGTATAGACGATTGTTCGGTGTAGGACGACGCGTCGCATAACTTTTCGCGATACCGCATTATGTTACTACAGCCTGTTGAAAATTCGTGATTTATTCTGCCGAATCAAAGAAACGATTATCGCCACTGTCGAAAAGACGGAAGACATGCATTATCTATGTCTTCTAGTATAATTTAATCGGTTTTCCGTCTCAACGTTTCAATGTCGGAGTTTTAATTGCCATTGCACACTTTAATGACCACAATTCGTGAATGAAATTTCGCACGTTGGAGTCTGAGCAAACGTGTTTTGCGGGAAATAACAATATCAGTAACAAATGGAGAACTAAATTTGAGCTTGTTGGTTGTACCAATATTATTGTATATTATTTATGTGGACTAAACCATAAAGTTTAAGCGCTTAATTAAATTGTTAGTTTTCCTCAAAATTATTATAATTTAGTTATAGTATCGCCTATGTTTTGAGAGGAAAGAATCGAAATGATCCAGCTGTGATTTACCTTGCTCGATGGAAATTACAATAATAAAATTCTGATTTACTCACCGTGACATCTTATTCTCATCGTAATATAAAAATTGACACAGCATCGTTTCACGATATTCCGGAACATAAAAGATGTTACTTTTAATTATTTTGCTGGACTCTCTAACACTGTGATCTGCACTCTTGTCCATTGCCATTAAAGTATTAAGAAGTTCCTAGAACGCAACATACATATTTGCTATATTTTGTCGGCACCAGTATTCAAAGCCGTTATTATTACCGTAAAGATTCTTACCTGATATGCTTTTAATGCTACATGCAATCTACGTGACCAAGCCGGTATTCTTTTTTTATCAGTGAGAATCATCTCGTAATATTGGTCCATTTGTCTTTGTACTAAGTGGAATACTCCCGTGGATATAGTTTCGCTGTTGAGAAATCGATAAATAATATAGAATAATACATTCAAATTTATAATTTATATCAAGTATACATTCAGAGTATACATATGAAACAAACCGAAATGGAGCAATATGTCGCCAAAATTTAATCATAAACAAAAGCGATATTAAACAAAAAATATATAAATATTCAGAGCAAAACACCTAGCATAACTTTGCAAGACTCGCGCAATAAATTTTAATAAAAATAAAATTAAATATTTATTATGTATAGAAAGCGATACATCGATTATAAATAGTTTTCATGTGAACGTCCTACGGAACCTCATAATGACCATTTAACAACTTTCATTTTTACACTACAGCCTTAAGAATTATTTTATATAAAGTCGAATGATTCGCTCAGTACATGCAGGCGCTGCAAAATATTCTCCCTAGACGACAGCTAAAAGAAAGCGACGATGCGTAAAACGAGTTCGGAAACTGTCTCGCTTTCTGCCTCTTTAGACCGGATATGCGCGCAGCGACTATACAGATTTCGCTATAAGAGAACCGAAGTGCGAAAATTTACCTCACATATTTCACTTGGAACTTGTAATGGCGATTGAACTCCATGAAGAAACGTAAGGCCCACAGATAGGAAACCGTTTCAGATACGTCACCATGAATGCCGTTGATGATGCAAGATCTACCGAATCTCATCACGGGATTGTAAGCTCCGCTCAAGAATTCTACGCAAAATTCTTTGAGGAAAAGTCGTACGTTAAGAGCAGACATACGTTCCTCTTTAGCGTCTTGTAGGCCTATTTTGTCTTTGCGTCGTTTTATTCTTTTCTGTTATAGAAGAAAATGTCTATTTTCTACTCATTCATCTACAAATTTTTTTATATACGTACTTTGATAATAAAAACTTGAAGATATTTTTAACGTTTTTACATTATTTAATAATAAAGAAAAGGAAACAATTACTTCTAATATAAATATTTATAAAAATACTTCTTCATTCATGTTTGCAAAATTTACCTTGTTGTGGCCAAATTCTAAAGCTTCAATCTTCTGGTATGGTTTGTGACATATCATTTGATTTTCTCCGGTGGCTTTCATATTTTGCACAATATAAGTACCGCCAAATCGTGAATGCCTGTTCAGTAACAAAATAATTAGAAAAATTACAGTTAATTACAAAGCAAAGGCATTTTCGGAAGACGCAAACATAAGATAATTAATCTTATAATGCGACATGAATATTGAGAGAACAATACATTCTAATATCAACGAAATATACTAAACATCTTATCTTCAAACTTCGAATTTCTTCCTTATATGTGCAAAAATACGAGAAAACGTACGTTTCTCACTACTAAAAAAAGAAATTGATCATTCAAATCCAATTTCGTCCATGACTCCCGAAGATCCAATCAATGGTATAGAAGGCAGCTGTCACCGGCAGATAGTTTCCTAAATGACGAAGACGCGCACCTTACCCCCCCTACTTCTCCAACAACTTTTTCGCCAGAAATTCGACTCCATCATCACCCTCCAAATATTTTTAAACAAACGATTGACTTCCCAAAGTATGTCAAAGTAAGATTACCGCGAGTAAAATTAAAATGCATGGTAATTTATATAAAATTTACGTTTGCCTCGGTCTTTTATCTTCGTGATACGTATCCGAAAGCAATATATCCAAGTTTTCCAACGTAATAATATTGATTTAAATGAATTAGAATATCCACATATAAAATGATTTCAATGATAAACTCATATACAATGAAATATACTGAAATATACTGAAGATAATGAAAATAATAATATAAATACAGTATAATTTGAAGACGCAGGGCAAAGATTATGACGCGAGAATTGACTGCACGGCGCAACCGTCCAATTTTGTTACCATGTTTACCGTTGCTCAAAGAGAGATCTGCTCGCGACATAGCTACGCGCTGCTTTATCGTTTTCCGATCAAATTATCTTTCTATCGATCGATAGAAAACACGAAGGAGGCGGAGGATCTTTTCACCGCGCACTTCCAACCCCTTTCAAGTCGTAAAAAGCCTTTCGCGCAAAGACGCAGCAGCGCGTACCCGGAGCTTCAAACGCGCTCGTTACAAGAATACGACTCGCTTCCTTCCAACAAGTGGATAAAAGCTTCTATTCATGCTTCGGGCGGTCCTATCTTAAAAACTAGGTCATATTCATTACACGCGTATCGTATCGAACAAGCCGCGAAACCCCCGAAGGCATCCGTCAAGTAGCAATCAACGCCTTTTAGCCCTCCCATTTTTATGATTACGGGCTTTTAGCTATGGCCTCTCATTAGAGCAGTAATTACGCGGTAGCCACCCACCGATGAGTGCATTCTAGCATGTTTCGCGATAAAAACGTACGGTTAACGTACGAAAAACCGAATGAAGCACAGACGTCAATCTATGCGGCGTTGCTGCGTTTGCTGTGTCCTGAATATCGAATAAGTCCATCGATTAAGCACATATCCAAAGAGTCGTTTCAATCATAGAATTCGAACACTCGTTCGAGTATCCGCGAATAAAATAGATTTAAATTAAATTAAATATATATTTTTCTATAATTCGTGTATTCTATTCACTTTTTATAACGACCACTTCATATAACAATATCACTATTGTTATATTGGTTAAACCAACGACCAATCTTAAATTCGGTAAAAACAGATTTGTGTAAAAAGAATTTCTTTTTTTCTTAATTTGAGCAATTGCAACAGAGAATGAATACAACGTAACATGTTCTCATTATAATAATGTGATTAATACATAATATAAACTCACCTAGACCCAACATATTTTTTCATCTTGTTCATCTTTTCCTGCAGCTCCTTTTGTAATAAAGTTACTAGCCTTGTCTCATCTTCCTCCTTTTCAGCAGTACTACGTTGTAATCCAGATACAGCCAATTGACTTGCATTTTGTTCACGCAACATCAGAGATACAATCTGTCGAAATATGAAAATACCATTACTTACGAATAATAAGTTTTTTTCAAATAATAGTATTATATTCATCAAAATTATATCCAAATATATAAAATATATATAAGAAAATGTATATAAGTTACTTATATTTTTTTGTTTATATACCTCTAAGACCTGCATGTGATACTGTTGTTCTTTTTGGTTACTAACTATAAACAATAATATGTCCACAATGCCCGATGTATGATATGCAAATAATATCTATAAAAAATACTGCATTACTTAAAATAAGGTTCAATGTATTATGTATAAGAGAATGCAAAATTTATCTTAATGTTAATGCAGCAATTTACCTTATCATGAACAGTAGCATCATTATTAGTTCTTTTATCATTATCATTAGCTGGTACTTGTAATACATTTCTGATAAAAATGAGTATCCTTTCAATTGTCATCTCATTTTCCTCTTCTCTTTCTGTATTATCCTATAAGATAAAGAAGTTTTTGTGCCTAACATCGCTTATTGAACCTTATGTTAAAAGTATACATTGAAATATATACATTGAATCTATGTTAAAAGTTTGTTTCGCTTACAATGTCAAGTAGATTTGCTAAACGACTGGCTACTGTCAACCATATATTATCATCAGTTAACGCAGCTTTATATTCATGTAAGTATGAGACAATTTGTTGATAGAAATGATATATTGTTTTTTCAGTTGGTATCTGTTCATTATAGATTACAGATGCAGGACTTGTTAAATTAATAACTAATCTGTTTGGAAAAAGGATATAAGATTATAAATTAGCCTATAGCATTATTGTATTCAAAATCTCGATTATATGATGGATCAATACATACCGTAATAATACATCCCAAAGTTCAATATTACTGACATGATATACAAGAATTTTTACAAGATCTGTCTGAAGTAATTTTGTTCGACCAAGAAAGCGTCTAATAGTGTGAGTATCGTCATCTCTCTTAAGATATCTGATCAAATCTTTTATAACATCTAGTAACACAATTAATTACATTGTCAAATATTGCTTGTTCCTAAATAAATCACCTCCAACAAAAATATAAAATAAAAATTGTTACCTAAGCAATACTTGTCTAAATGGTAATTGGCGCCATCATAATATCCAAGCACAGCGCAAGTGGCTGTGAGTTCAGCAGAAAGATAATCTTCCATACTTAAGCAATTCACACCGCAAAATCTTCAATATACAATATATATTTACCAAATTAGCTATGACGTTTATATGCACAACAATTACAATAAATATACATATAAATAACTGCTTAATTATGACTACACATATTTGTAATTATGTATGACAAAATACAGTAAGTACTCAAAGTAAAGTATTATCTTAATTTGTATACAAATTGCATTATATAATCACGGACTTATTTAAAAAGCATCATTCATTTATTCTTATAGATGCAACTACTTCAACAGTGGGAAAGCTAATGGAAACTGTTTACAACAGCTAAATTTTAACAAAAAAAGATGTTTTATAACAAAATTAAAATAATTCCAAACTAATATATCGGCTTAGCGACGATAATGTCATAATCAATTTCGTCATGTTTTAAAAAATCATTAATTTAATGTCTGACATAAGTTACTACCGGGTCACAAGAATTTAGGTTAAGTTAGCAAAACATACACACTTAAACCTAGAATTTGAATTTTTTAACACGATACACTCTCAGTAAACACCTCACGTAATAACACATAACAAACTGCGATAATCTTTTACCGATTACCTTCTCACACGACAAAACAAAACAATTGTACGCACCTACACTGCAAATGTACACGCCAAATGCAACAGGTGAGAAAAACGCGGGAAACAAACTTGGCTCACTGTTTCGTGATTGGTTCGTCGTGTTCGGGTATTTCCGTATCTCAATCAATTCAACCGAACCGGTCGCGGCGGTTTGTACGTTCGCGGCATCAGCCAGCACAGCGTTATGTAAGCAATTGTGTCATTCATTTAATTATTTAATATTTTGTTTCCTCGCTTTGTGCATGTATACGCTTAAATCGAAACAGACATATACAATTTAGACTATCGAGAGGCAAAATAGTGTGAAAAAATACACGAAAACGCAGATACTGCATGCAACATAACGAAGCGGATAACCTCATTTCATATATTTTCAATCAAATTGAAACATGCAACAAACATGTTTTAATCAAAACTGAAATGATTTGAAGCTATGGCCAATTAAAGACTGATAGCATATGGCTATATTCTTCAATTAACCTTAGATAAATAGTAGACTGTACAATGGATGAGTTCGGGGAATATACTATCGATGCTAATGCACGATTCTGTCTTTGTTACTTATTAAATATACAATAAGGATAGAATGATAGTCAGTGCTAATAGACGCCTCCCCGAATGCAACCAATGTCGTTGGTCTTATAAACATTGCTCGAATTCACGAACGCACGAAAATATGGCGCCTATTATATGAAAATAACGAGAATATATGGTATCTATTATAAATCTTATTAAATAAAGAATTATTTCAAATAAACGTCGACATCACGTGCTGTCAGAAGCACGAGCATATTCTTCAATTTCAACGAGCATTTACTTCAATTGTATTTGTTTAACAGCATTTTTTTTGTCGTGGATATTACACATGATTATACATGAAGGAAATTTATATATGATCTTTTTTCCCAGGCGAGCTCAGAATCTGTTCCGCTAGACGACGCTCCATTATTTTCCTGTAATACGACGCTTTCGGCGAGCAATCTGCTGATGGACGCTGTCCGCAAAGGGGAAAATAAAGCCATAAATCCAATTTCGCCACGAAGGGAAACAGGGAAAAGGGACATCAGCGGGATGCAGACGGTCGAGCAGGGAGAACTAGGAAAGTGCGAGTGAGTACGAAAGAATAAGACTGAGTAATTCGTATATCAGAGAACAAGGAAAACGGAGAGAAATAGTAGGACAAAGGTATAGAGGGTAAGGTAGGGAAGAAGATTCGAGGTGTCGCAACATGTTTGACGGTTGCGGCTACGGACGAATCAATGGTTAATCAATATCCTCGAAGGTATCTAGGTCATTGGGTTATCGGTCAGTCACTCGCACCTGTCCGCTTATTTCGTCAATGCTGTTCATTCTATGACGATACGCTCTGTACATTTTCCAGTGTGCATGCACATGTGGCTTTGGCGCCTGGAAAATTGCCCGAGCATAGTCGCTTGCTCTTTTCGAATCGACTCTCGCATACGCGAGTCGACATGCCGTGTGATTCGATTTTTTCTCCGAAACGTTCCCGCGTTCGGCAGAAACATCAAAAGAAATATATTTACGTCAAATTGCTTTCATCTTTCGCACGCGCTACGAACGCGCGTTGACCCTTGTGTACAACATTACAAAACAAGAGAATGTTGCATTGTTTGTTTCGTGATTTATATTTATTTCTCATTATATAATTTAGTTTACAATCCCATCAGTATAAGTACTAATTATTTAGAAGATACGATATCTGAAAAAGTTAGAGAAAACTATAGAAATTATTAAATTGTATGCAAAAATGTTTACAAGACATATTATGTGTTGTGCATACAGCTCTGTATATTTATTACGCTCGAAAAAAGCGAAACAGTCTCGATTGCTCTGTTTAAACATTACTCGTGGCAGCATGTGGTGTTTGGTGGATACCAAATTATTTATATTTGCAAAAACGATATACCCCGTATTATGAAATCAATTAAGCTGAAAATTAAATAACACGATAATATTTGAGATATTGATTTGTGCTCGCGACGAAAATATCGAAAAACTGCCATTGAAATAAAGAAATTAATATATGACGTGATCATATATACGGAGCGCGCAATTAATTCTTTGAAATTTGACAATTAGGAACAGTCAACCGCGTTTTGCGGTTCGCCGTGTAAACAAGTAGGTGTATTTAGTCGCAGGCCCGTTCGACTTTTGATACAGCTATATATTAACGTTTGGTAAATCCAAAAATTCGACGTCGCATATATTTATCGTGAAAATTACGTATGCAGCGGCAACCACAAAGCGAACAAACTGCTTTTATGCGACACGCTAATATGAGTAATAGCAACGACGCCGCACCGTGCGGCGCGGATTATGAATAAAATACAAAAACAGGTTATTCCATTGTTCCTCTGAAGCATTGTTTCACCCGCACAAATGCAGACCCTATTCCGATCTCCTCACCTAAACGCGAATGGTTCGCGTTTAAGAAACTGCAGATGTTGCGTTATGTAAATATCTCTGTTATACAATTGGAAGGAATTATGGACCTTTAAAATAGGTACTTTAAGTTGCAATTAATAATGACGATTCGCATAAAATTTTCCTGATATACTTTATATGTTATGGAACAAAGTTTAGTATATTCTAATATTTTATGCAACGCACGAAACATTATTTAATGAGTGATTTCTATTGATGTTATAAATTAAACGGAAAGAAACAGATTGAAAATTTCATTGTTTCTGCGCGTAAAGGTTATTTTTTTAGGATAAGTGCACATACTTTTCAATTTACGCTTTTCAACTATTAAAATGAAACGTATAATAGAAACTATCTTTTATATCACGAATGTTTCTTGCAAGTTACTTTGGATTTTGATGAAGAATGTATTGCATAAAATAGAATATTAATGAAAAAGAAAATTTTTTCTAGTTGCCACTTCATACGGATAATAATTCACAAAATGATGTTGACAGTAGTAGCACTGATTTTATACCGCGACTTATGTTATAAAACGTAATATGACTGGACGATTAAATAAATCAGTAAAATATATTATATTTTTAGTGATCGCGCAATATACAAGGTATTAAAAAAATATACCGACAAGCTTTGAGAGTTAATAGATGATATGTAAATAAGCAACACGAGATAGAAAATGATTGGAAACGCATTATGTATGAGATATAAGATATTAAAGAACGATACCGTTATTGTACAATTACATTTTACCGACATATCGTTTTCTGTACGTAATACTAACGAAGAAATGCAATCAATTTTCAATAAACAAAGTAATAATTCAATAATTTCAAAACAGAAAATGAAATCATGTAACAACATAGAAAGATCACATTTTGAGTTATATTTCCATTGACTAAATATATCCTCCTATTGTTTAATGTTACAAAATTTAAACATATTTAGCCAATTATGTGCTAATATTTGCTGTATTTCGTTGAAATTGAGTGCATTTTTCCTGTTTACACGCATAACAAATATATTGGTAAAGTGCAATTGTATAATAACGATATTTTTCTTTAACATTTTATATCTCATACATGTGTTTCCGATTATTAATTTTCTAGTTCATATTATTTGTTTACGTATCTTCTCAAGGTTTGTCGGTATACTTTTTTAACACTCTCTATATGTACCCTTTACGAAACGAGAATATACCTCTTAAACAGTAGTTAGGTATTTAATTTCTTTTTTTCCGGTATTATTTTTTGGGAATATTTAAGTTGAAACGCTACAAAAATTGTTTCTTCAAGTAAGATTTATCTCTTGGGATATATCAGAGATAATAATGACGTAATATGTTTTATTGTCTTTAAACAAATTACAAACACGAGACAAATGCGATTCTCCAGTGTATATAGAATAGATAAGTGAGTGAACTTTAAAATTAACGCGCGCGTACAACAAAGTACATGGCTTGTTACATCATGAATTCAATTAGAATATACTAACGGCAGAGGTTAATGCGAAATTAATCAGACAGCTCTGTGCTCTCCTTAGACAGGCATAACAGGGCGCAGCTTCGCTTCCAATTTACGGCAAATACCGCGGGTTACTTCGTACTTTGATACGGAAAACTGTAAGTCTGTCTGGCTCGCAAAGTTGGCAGCTAAATGTCGTGTGCATAATCTACTTGTTAACTAGTTAATTCAGTTAAGTTTTGTAAGTTTCGCCGCGCGTAAACATAACTGTCTAGCAGACGAACGAGTTGGAAGCGGCAAATTCAGTCAAGCCGAAATAAAGCGATTGCGTTCCGCGCTATAAATTACGATTTCAGATATTCTTCGCGATTTCCTAGAACGCAAACTCGAGAATTCATTATATCGTTGTGTTTAAAACAAATCCTGATATGATAGGCGAATCTATACTCGAAAATTTGTCGCAGACACGTTTTGAATCGGCGATTTTATCTCGCGCGAAGAATTAATTAGTATTTCCCGTTGAATTATGCTCATACCAATCCTCTTGATCAGAAACGGTATTTTAATTTGCAATTATACTGAAATATATTATTAAATTTTCAATATGTGATATTTTACAATGGGGCCTAATCTAATAGACATTCGTCATAGTCAATAATGACACTCGTTTCTAATTAATAGACCGCTCATCGTTTCATTTCTGCAGATATTTGGAAGAAATAAATATTCCTTATCATTGTCAAAAATATTTTATGCTTTGACAAGATATGCATATCTGTTACTGTTAAGTACTTAAAACACTAGCGATAATTTTGACAATATTAACAATTCTGATGCATTTTTGCATTGGCGAGAAATGAGCGTGTATCTACTGCTCCTAATGAAAACAATTCACTACCGTATTGCGGAAAAGTTCATTTGCCTGCCAATTGATCGGTACTATTCGACACTTATAATGGGACTTTCAATTAACGCTTTCAATTACTAATGAGACTTTTAATTAAAAGAATTTATCCCCGTGAAATCGGCTTAAAAGCGGCCGCGTACGCGGATCAAATCGTGGCGGACTAAGGATTAAGCGATAAAAATTAAACTTTCGATATCCGATTTTTCTACTTGCCGCGAAGCGGAATAATCGCCCGTCGATAATAGACC